TATAGACATATATACCTTAGGAGACTAACAAATGTCCTAAAATCATTAACTTTAACCTCCAACTTAAATAGGAAGACCAAATTAAAACTAGATTTAAAGTATAGGGACAAAACTATTTAATTTGAAACTATAGGGACCAAAATGAAATTTGTGTTAGGTTTTTATTCTTGGCAATCCCGTTTGACAAAACTCCTTTCAGTTGTATTTGTTTTCGCATTTTTATTTCAGTGAAGCTATGAGTTTTTAAATGCGAATCAAACTCGAATTGTGCCTTGTAGAGAAGTTTTGTGATGTTAATTCTTTCAAGATTGCCACTTCGCTGATTATGACGGGGATCGAGCAAAATGCAAAAATGCAAAAATGCATTCAAAGTTGCCTGTCCGCTCGAGTGGACATTCCCCCGCTCGAGTGGAGAATGCTGAGTTTCAGAAGTGTGTTCGTCTGCAAAAATACTGGATGTTGTTTTTTCCGGCTCGAGCGGAACTTTCCGCGCTCGAGCGTAGGTCCGCTCGAGTGGCCAATCTGACGCTCGAGCAGAGATCGTGGGATAGTTTTCTATAAATACGTGTTTCAGTCCAAATCTAGGGTAACTTCTCCAGATCTTCTTCTTAGGTTCTAGGGTTTATATTTGGGGATATTTTGCTAAGTTTTCTTTGATGTTTTGATTGAGTATTCAACTCATGGTTTAAAGAGTGTACATCAAAGGATTATTTGTTTGTTCTACACAAAAGAGAGAGTTGTTCTTCGGTGAATTCTGAAGAATTCAAGCCTGAAGTTTTGGTGGATTCTGGAGTGGCTGATCGTCAAGACAATTCCAAGGTCAAGATGGGGTTGGAAGAGGCACATAGGGGTTGGTTCAATTCGAGTGTGGATTCGCTAGGTAATTGAGAGTATACCTGTGTAATTCATTTATGTCTTTTTAGTGAATTGTTTGGTGGCTTTTGCCTGTGATTTTTTATCACAATTGGAGGTGTCCAATTATGGTTTTTCCACGTAAAATCGTTGTGTCGACTTGTCTTGATTATTTGATTGGGATTGTTATATACTGCTTAAAATTGATACATAATCACAAATCAACACCTAGGGAATTTTTAGATTTTTCAATGTGAATCAATTATAAAGGTGAAAAGTGTAATTCATCCAAATAAAAAACATTTGGAAAATTTAAATGCAAAAATAAAAATAAAAATAAAAAACCCCATAGTTTGACCATTTTGTAACAAAATATATAAATCATGAATTTTTAATTATATGCTTATAGAACATTTGATGGAATGACCTCAATTTCCACCAATTTAATTCCCCTAATTTACAGTGTTCTATAATAGAACAATAACAAATTTACAGTTTTTCTTTTTTTTTTTTTGTGTATGATTTGTTGGTGATACAATATAATCTTGCAATGACTTTATCTTAATTATAAAGAGTTTATTCCAATGGAAAATTTTTCAAGTTCAAATGCTTCTGAGGCTTATTTACACTAAAACCCCTTAAACTATTGAGAAGTATTATTTTGATTCTTTAAATTATAAAAGCGTAGAAATGGACCCCTAAACTATTAAGAAGTATTACTTTGCCCTCTAAATTATAAAAGCGTACAAATGTTTCTAAATTATAAAAATGAAAAATATAGAAACCCTAGATGTTGACTTGTGATTATGTACCAATTTTAAGCAGAATATAACAATCTCAATCAAACAATCAAAGACAAATCAACACAACGATTTTACGTGGAAAAATCACAATTGGACACCTCCAACTGTGATTAAAAAATCACGAGCAATAGCCACAAAACAATCCACTAAGAAGATTTAAAGGAATTACACAGGTATACTCTCAATTACCTAGCGAATCCACGCCTAATTGAACTAACCTCTATGTGCCTCTTCCAACCCCGTTTTCACCTCGGAATTGTCTTTACAATGAGCCACTTCAGAATCCATCGAAGCTTCAGGCTCGAATTCTTCAGAATCCACCGAAGAACAACTCTCTCTTTTGTATAACAAACAAAACCTTTGATATACTCTCTTTTAAACCATGAGTTGAATACTCAATAAAAACATCAAAGAAAACCTAACAAAATATCTCCAGATATAAACCTTAAGATCCAAAAAGAAGATCTGGAGAAGTACCTTAGATTTGGGAGAAAACCAACTATTTATAGAAAACCAAAGTAATCCTAGTTTTTGAAGAAAACCAACTCCTATAGAAATCCGGATTTTGACTCTCGCTCGAGCGAAGCTTTTCTCGCTCGAGCGAGGAGTTTAACTTTCGTGATTTCTACTAGTGCCTTAGCTCGTGCGACGAATCCTTGGCTCGAGCGAGCAATCAACTCTTTCAGGTTTTTGTGTGGATGCAATCTATCGCTCGAGCGAGAACTCCTTGGCTCGAGCGAGCAAGCCTTAGCTCGAGCGAGCATTCCTTGGCTCGAGTGAACAAGGGCGGACATGCAATTTTGAATGCAATTTTTCATTTTGCTTCGGCCGCGAGCTGACCGGGCAGCTCAACCTCCGTAATAATCAGCGAAGTGGCAATCTTGAAAGTATTGACATCACAAACTTCTCTGCAAAGCACGATTCAGGTGGGATTCGCCTCTAACAACTCATAACCTCACTGAAATAAAAATGCAAATAAAATTACAACTCAAAGGAGTTTTGTCAAACGGGATTGCCAAGAATGAAACATAACAAAAAACGTACAAATTGGACCGTTAATGGAAACGATCAAAGTGAAACACGTCAATAGGTCAATAGGTTAAGGGGTCTATTTGCACGTTTTTATAGTTTAGGGGGGCAAAATGATACTTCTTAATAGTTTAGGGAGTCTATTTTTATACTTTTAAAATTTGAGAAGTCAAAGTGATACTTTTCAATAATTTAGAAAATTTCTGCATAAATAACCCTGCTTCTTCTGAAGGAAAATGGAACAATTTTGGTTCTGGGGTTTATTAACTTAGAGAATAATAAATTTAGTATGACTGTGATACTTTCTTATCATAAACACTTTGTATTGTAAACTAATAATAAGTAACTATTGTTTAAAAAATTAATAGATAATATTTGGGCATACTTTTTTTTTTTTTTTCAATTAGGAGGAGATTATTTATATGTGTTAAGAAAATTATATTAAACTAGACAATCAACTATATAAAAAAAATTTGCAAAAACATCCATTGAAGTCCAATATCAACAATTACTGCTAAAAAAACCAGAAAGGCCCATAATTAGGAATGATAAACAGCTAAACAAGACCCTCTAATAAAGGAATAAATAGTCAATCTACCTTTGCAATGATTGACCATCCTACCTATAATTTCAGAATGTACAAGATTGCCAACTCAGCTAATTCTTCCTCAATTGATTATGTGGATATAGATGAAGTGGGTAATTATTCAGTAGTCTCGGAGTGTCATATGAAGATACCTCAAGTTAAAGAAAAGTATTCCAAATCTCAAGTCTATCTAATGTCGAACTCCTTATCATGTGTTGGTTCATGAAATTTAAATGAAATGGTTGGATTGAATTGATTAAAGAACCACCCAACATGGACCTCCTTACATTACACGTTAGTCTATGAAATTAAAATAAAAGGGTTGGACTTAATTGATTAAAGGACCACCTTCAAGTCAGTCTAATGTGGGTCTCCTTATCACACGTTAATTCAATGAAATAGTTAGTCTTAAAGGATCACCTTTAAACTTGTCTAACGTTGGTCTTCTTATCACACGCTATTCCATATGATTATTATTCAATTATAATATTGTATGGGTCTTAGAATTGAAAATCTCTACATATTCAAACTACTGATAAATACAATTTATCAATATATATATTATGTTCATTAAGATTAATTTTCACACTCAAGATTAGATGAATTCAATCCCACTTCTTAACGAGGGTGGTGTCAATGGTAATTTGGCTTTATTTTAAAATCTTGTGATAATTTCCTTTCACTTGAGCTTCATAATAGTGCAATTTCAACTATTACAAAACTTAAATGTTCTTAATAAAATTAATATAGTAATTACGTACTCTAAAACTTTAATAAACATTTCAAAAGTCGCCAAATTTGAATTGTAATCCACACCTATGAACTGTAGAGCCCACCTTTACTACAAGTTGCGACCATGCCTCACTCTCACATTCATAACACATGCATTCTATATCTCAAATATATTATTGAAGACAATTAATTTGTACTATTTGAGGAGACCTTGAATTGAGGTCAACAGAAAATATCCCATGTTAATAATTCTATAATTTGAAGGAGAAAAAAAAAAACAAAAAAACAAAAAACAATACCAAACTAAGTACCAACATGAGAAGAGGAAAAAAATAGCGCAAATTATATTTATCTTCATTCAATTTTTGCTCAAATTTTATTATGATTTTTTGCATTTCAATTGTCACAATCTTAATCCCATATTTTCAAACAAATTTTTAATATAGTGATAATTTCCTCTCACTTGAGCTTTTATTTGCTTGCAGAGTATAGTTGGTTCTATAGAAAAAAAAACAATGTTATATGCACCAAGTAGTGTATTAATTAGTGTATTAATTAGTGATGTGGCATAATTGAAGATTTTTTGATATTTGTAATTTGTATAATGAGTGAGATTAATAATAATGTCATAACTAGTATTGGTACACTAGTTAATACACTAATTGGTACATATAACACCACCGACAGAAAAACACCAATGTGGACTAATTAGACGGACCATCAAGAAGTAATGCTGGCTCTATAAAAAAATACTATGAGCATCTCCGACGGTTCAGTATAATTTTCACCAAATCCATATACAAGTAGCTCCAATAGTGTGCATCAAAAGCGAAGGGAACGTCCGGTGGGTCGACCGGTTGGGCAAATTTTTGTTTTTTTTTTTCTCCCTTTCTGTTTCCAATTCATTATTATTTCTTTTTCCTTCCATTACTCTCCAACCCCCCCCCCCAAGATTTCTGAATCAAAACCAGAAAAAATAAAATAAAATAAAATAAAATATGGAGATGGACTCTGATGAGTCTCACCCTCTTCCCCATCAGATCATCCTCTCAAGATTACCCGTCAAATCTCTCTTGCGTTCCAAGCTCGTCTGCAAAGAATGGTGCCACTCAATCTACACTCCCCAATTCACCAAACTCCACCTCTCTCAATCCCAACTCACAACAACCCACCACGTCGCACTTCTTGAGTCTCGCAATCCTCCTTCCTCCATCGCTCTTCGCTCTATCGAATCTCATTCTGATGAATTAGTGATTGAGATTCATAACTCTTTCAAGTATTTATATCCCAATTCCAAGATTATCAGTTCTTGTAATGGGTTGTTGCTAATTGCTCTATCCCATAAGACTTTCATTGTTTGGAACCCATCAACCTTCAATACGAGCATTTGGGTTGTCCTCCTCATTTTCTCAGTTTCGTTTTCATTCTGGGCATTAATGTGATGATGCATTAAGAAGGAAGAAGAAAGCTGGAGTTGAACAAATGAAAAAAAAGAAGAAAAGAATTCCATGGATGAGTTGTTTATATAGAAATTAGAATAGAGAGATGGGTTGTTTTTCTAATTGTATTGAAGCTTTTGGAAACTCCCATTTTTTCTGTGAACCAGATGACCGGGTGGCCAACTGGCCGGTCTTTCGGTAGGCACCCGTCTCACGCAGAGAAGAATTGCAAGAGTATCGCACCATCAAATTAAAAAATGGTCAGTTATCTTCTACTGATTTCACCGACCGATGTTTATATGTCTTTACTGTTAATCGAGTTCATTTCATATTTAAAAGTTCCTAGGTTAACGAGCTGTTCAATTCTTTATCATGATAGATGATTTTATCTCATCTCAATTCTCACTTGATGTTTATGAATTCGTCCTACTTTTTCTCTCTGATTTTGGGCATTAATGTGATGATGCATTAAGAAGGAAGAAGAAAGCTGGAGTTGAACAAATGAAAAAAAAGAAGAAAAGAATTCCATGGATGAGTTGTTTATATAGAAATTAGAATAGAGAGATGGGTTTTTTTTCTAATTGTATTGAAGCTTTTGGAAACTCCCATTTTTTCTGTGAACCAGATGACCGGGTGGCCAACTGGCCGGTCTTTCGGTAGGCCCTAGCCCAACGTCAACGCTTCCCAAATCCTCAGTTTGGTCCAACGTCAACATTTTCCAAATCCTCAATTTGGTGAAACATGTGATGTTTTCTCAATTTGATACCATTTTGGTAAAACTATTAGAGCACCAAAAGTGTTTTTTTTTTTATCAGATTTGAATTTGGTGATAGATCTGCTGAACCATTGGAGATGGTCTAACATGGACTAATTAGACGGACCGCCCCTCCTTGAGGTTTTTAACAGATACACAAATTTTAGTGTAATTTTAGAATTGAAGGGAAGGTCTATGTATTTATCAATTAAGATGTGCATAACTTCCGGCAGTCATCCACCTCTCGGAGTGGCAGCTGCTCTCCACTCTTGGAAGGGCTGTCTGATCTGTCTTTTTTTTTCTCCTGCTTTTGTACTTTTCTTTGCGCGTTAGTTTCTCACCAACTAGGAGGTTGGAGCTTGTTATAGCTCCAAGCTCCTCTTTATTGATGTAAATTTTCCTTTCCATCAATAAAGTTTTTTTGCCGATCAAAAAAAAAAAGATGATTCGATTCTTAGGTACTGTCAGATTAATCTAATAATGGACCATATATTTATTTGACACAAGAATTTATAACTCGCTCTGTACTTATTTATTTATTTTTATTTTTTCCTTTCAAATGTTACCGTTAAGTTATAGGGAATTTCATTAATTTTTAGAGACATCAACGGAGTGTATACAGCTTATTATAAATTGACATAATTTTATCACAAAATTTTATAACATCAATCACAAAATAAGTAATCTTATCAGAAATTGGAGTAAAAAAGATATTATAACGAAGCCACAAACCTTTATTACATGAATTACGAAATTTTAAACATTTTATTATGTTAATTTGTGATTAATGTTACAAAAAATTTTAATAAAATTATGCCAATTTATTGTATGGTGCATATGTTACACACCTTAAAAAAATATGAACCACAGAATTTCCCTAATTTCTATATCCATATATTAACTTTTTAAAAAATTTCATTTATAATGAGTAGTTAATGTTGAATCATAAGTGTTCACATCATTGAAGGAGACACAAAAAATTGAGCAATTATTCATTGCTCACGGAGCATTGACATGGTCATGTCACAAAGTCATTCAAGTTATTCATTTGTGAGGGACTCACGTGAAACTCACACAAATAAATAATTTGAATAACTTTGGAACAATATTACATGGGGCATGAAATATTTTTTTTTTTTTAGAAAATCATAGCAAACTACCTCTTCCATATAATTGAAGTCGTTGTACACAATTGATTAAAGGATCATTCTCAGCGTTAAGCTCCTTTTTATATTTTTCATATTCCTCTTTGTGGTCTTTACGTAGACATGCATTGATAATTTAAACCATCTATCTCGTACGCCTGGCAGTAAATATTATCTATATAAAAAATTAACTTTATCAAACAATTATAACATAAATAAATCACATTTTTTTTTATAAAATAGATAATTTAAGTTTTTAATCATATTTATCGCTCATTTTATAAGACAAAATGTGATTTATTTCTTCTTCTTCTTCTTATTTTTTTTTTTTTTTTTTTTTTTTTTTTTTTTTTTTTTTTTGTAGCTGTTTGATGAAGTTAATTTTTTGCATAAATGACTTTTATTGTGAGACCTACAAGATAGACGATTCAGATTATCGATGCCGATCTAAATTGAGACCAACAAAAAATAAAATAAAAGGGTATAAAAAAAATAAAGTATGGAGGATAGCTCATTTCTACCCTCGAACTCAATCTAATTTTGATCTCTTTATCATGCATTAGTCTACAAAATTATTGTTCATATGTAATACCGTGTGGATTTAGGTATCAAAATTTCCTTCATATTAGCATTACTAATAGATACAATTTACAACCGCAAGAAAAGAAAAGAAAAAACCCATAATATCATAATATGGCTTAGCTCTTTTGGTCATAATATTTCATTACACGTTCAGTTGTTTGAATCTCTCTATCTATGTTTGGATCTATTATATATTGTATTTAATTTTTATTATTATGATTATAAATTCATTAGTTTCATTGTAATATCAATATAAATTAAAAAATTAAAATAAATGCCTTATTCAACATTGTAAAATAGGGTTGAATTTAAAATAAGGAAAATGCTAGAGGTCCCAAATTTTCTACCAAATAAATGACCAAATGTCTCACATGGGTGTGGGACCCACAAAATTGCGGACCCCACACCCATGTGAGACATTTGGTCATTTGTTTGGTAGAAAATTTGGTATCCCTAGCATTACCCGTCCAATAAGGAAAATGCTAGAGGTCCCAAATTTTCTACCAAATAAATGACCAAATGTCTCACATTTGATATCGTTTGTGTTGGTTGATTGCATGTGACTATTAGTGCTTGTTGGGCTTGGTCGATTTGTTGATCACTTTTTAACTATTATTGGTCAGTAGTCTGTTGAATGATATAAATAGTGGCTTACAATTATTTTAAGGGTAATGCTAGGGATACCAAATTTTCTACCAAACAAATGATCAAATGTCTCACATTATTGGACCAAATGCCATGGTGAAATGTTGTTGTAATAGTGCATCTCAAAAATGTAATTATATTGGACACTCACTTTCGTAACATCATGCATTTAGTAAAGTCTACATATCTCAAAATTTGAAATGAAGACTTGGAATTAATTTGTATGATTGGAAAGAACCTTGACTTGGGGTCAACAATAAATATCTCATGATTTTATAAATCTTGAAATTTGCATAAATAAAATTCAAATTGAGTATATTTATTATCGTCAAATTTTTGCTTAAATTTCACTCGAATAATGCTATATGCACCAATTAGTGTATTAATTAGTATACCAATTAATCAAGTGGCATAATTTAAGAAGTTTTTGATATTTGTAATGTGATTAATGAGTGTGGTCAATAATAATATCATAAGTAGTATTGGTACACTAGTTAGTACACTAGTTGATGCATGTAACACCACTTATTTTACTCTCATCATTCTTATTGCAATTTGTCGTAATTTCAAACGAATTTTATTGTGAAGTTGAAATATAATATAACTTTATTTATATATTTTTTTAATATGAACTTGGAATTTTAAAAAATTTATAATAGCAATTCAGGGATCAAAGTGAATCTAGAAAGCAAAATTGAGAGACTTGAAAAGTGAAAAGTATTATAAAATGTAAGAGCTAAAAACATCAAAATGAAACACTATCACTCCTAAATGTCAAAATTATGATTTGATGAAGTTATTTCAACTAAACATCTTATATGCCTTTTATTTTTTTTTATGAGCAAACTAATAATAATAATAATGATAAATTAAAATGGTTAATTACATTTTTAATCTCTATATTTTGACTCAAATTGTACTTTGGTCCTTATAATTTCAAATTGAACAATTTTTTCTATACACTTTAAATCCAATTTCAATTTGGTCTTTCCGTCTAAAATTCTGTTAATTTTTCTTACATATATACCTTTTTTTATATAGTAAAAAAAAATCTTACATATATACATATAGACCTTAGGAGACTAAAAAATGTTCCAAAATCATTAACTTTAACCTCCAACTTAAACAGGAGGACCAAATTAAAACTAGATTTAAAGTGTAGGGACGCAAATATTTAATTTGAAACTATAGAGACCAAAATGAAATTTGAATCAAACTATAAAGGTAAAAAGTGTAATTAATCCAAATAAAAAACATTTAGAAAAATTATATATATATATATATTAAAAAAAACCATAGTTTGAACATTTTGTAACAAAATAAATCATGAATTTTTAATTATATGCTTATATAACATTTGATGGAATGACCTCAATTTCCACCAATTTAATTCCCCTACTTTGTTCATTATAATAGAACAATAACAAATTTACATTTTATTTTTTTTTTTTTTGCAATGGAAAATTTTCAGGTTCAAATGCTTAGGAGGGTTATTGACACTAAAACCCCTTAAACTATTGAGAAGTATCATTTTGATTCTCTAAATTATAAAAGCGTAGAAATGAACTCCTTAAACTATTGAGAAGTATCACTTTGTCCTCTAAATTATAAAAGCGTCCAAATGTTTCTAAATTATAAAAACAGACAAATTGGATCGTTAATAGAAGCAATCAAAGTGAAATACATCAATAGTTTAGGGGTCTATTTATACGTTTTTATAGTATAAGAGGGCAAAATGATACTTCTTAATAGTTTAAGAAGTCTATTTTTATACTTTTAAAATTTAAGAGGTCAAAATGATACTTTTCAATAATTTAGGAGATTTCGATGTAAATAACCCTCCGTCTGAAGAAAAATGGAACAATTTGGATTCATTA